GATTTGAGAAAATATTTTTATGATATTTACAATATTTGTAATATAATAAATTTATAATATATATAAATATAATTTTAATATTTATATTTATAATATAATAAATTTATAATATTTGCAATGTTTACAATATTTATAATATAATAAATTTATAATATTTACAATATTTACAATATAATAAATTTATAATATTTACAATATTTACAATATAATAAATTTATAACATTTACAATATTTACAATATAATAAATTTATAATATTTACAATATTTATAATATAATAAATTTATAATGTATATAATTTTAATATTTATAATATTTATAATATAATAAATTTATAATATTTATAATAAATAATTATTATAATATTATAATAAAGAAAATATCTTCAAGAATAATCCGAGATAAGGTAACTTCTGTGCAAAGATAAAAGAAAATTTACAATTGGGATCACTGTAATTTAGTCGAAAATATATTTCATGTTGTTACGTGTCATCGTTTCCCAAAAATGTGATATATATATGCCATTTATCCCTTAACACGTTGACTGCTACGATGGTCGTTGCTGACCATCCATAATATTAGTCTTTACTTGAAAATATATTTTACGTTGTTTCCTAAAAGTGTGGTATGTTTTCTCACCATTTATCTCTGAACACGTCACTGTTGACCATTCGTAAAGGTCCATTCTATTTAGAATAATTAAAACGAGATGAACGTCGGAGGAATTTTAAATCACACAAACAATTAGATAATATTGTAAAACAAAAGAGAAAACGCTTTCGTTATACCTTGTTGTAACATAATATCTCATAAAAATTATGTACTTCGTCGCATAAACGAAACTTCGTATAAGTATCGCGTGACAGTCTTTTCTCCGCCACTGTATACAAAACAAAAATATGGCTAAAAAATAATACGTCACAGGTACTAAATAATAATGCGAAAATTTAGTCGCAAGTATGATAATGACAAAGCGAAAGGATTAAAGCTTGAAAACTACACCACCCACCTGCACTCATTGCAATAACCATCCATTAACAATAACTCACATACTGCACGAATGCCACACCACAGAAACCCAAAGACAGAAATACGNGAATCAACGCAAACAAACCTGACTTCTCAAAATGACATACAAAGAGTATTAAAATATCTCAAATGAGTATTAAAATATCTCATACAAAGAATAAAATATGAGTATTAAAATATCTTATACAAAAAATAAAATATGAGTATTAAAATATCTCATACAAAGAGTAAAATATCTCAAATGAGTATTAAAATATCTCATACAAAGAATAAAATATGAATATTAAAATATCTCATACAAAGAATAAAATATGAGTATTAAAATATCTCATACAAAGAGTAAAATATCTCAAATGAGTATTAAAATATTTCATACAAAGAATATTAAAATATCAACAGTATCAAAATATCTCATACAAAGAGTATTAAAATATCTCAAATGAGTATTAAAATATCTCAAATGAGTATTAAAATATCTCAGAAACATAAACTACTACACACATATCTAATGGCACCGTCGTCGCTAATGACCTCGCTGTCGATGCGACATTAAAGAAAAATAGAAGAAGAAGAAGGAGAAGAAAGCTTGAGAAAATAAAGATAAATTAACCGAGTGACACGAGTCAAAAACTGGAGCTTGGTCTGCTACGTGTCGTTCTACATTCGCCGGTTCTCCAATTAGGTGTTCAAAAATTCTCTTACCCGTTCTCCCAATAAATATACCCAATTTGAGACCGAGGCGCAGACTCGGTGAACAACTTAGAAAACTCTAAAATGGCAACGACGTCCCGTTAGATGCCTGTGACGTTTCACTGAACTGAACTGTCAGCTCTCGGCCGGTGAAACGAATCGGCGCGTCGAATTAATGAAAAGTTTCAGAGAAAACGCGCGCCCGATAGGCTCGATTGGAGTGCGCGAATGCAAATAATAAAGGCAAAGAGCCAGAGAGCTCTCGATCAACCGGCAGTTTGATTAGAGGAGCGGCGACAGCCGACGAGAATCAGCAGGTTCCGCGTGCAACTCTCGTTACGCGTGTTTATGTCAGCTCGATCAACAACAGGACTTCGTTGCAAGATTACACGTTGCAAGCTTAATGGCTATCGTTTCAATCCTTCCTGCAACGATGGAAAGCGAATTTTCGCCGTTCGCTGCCTCGCGTCACATTCACGTTCCAACAAAATCATCGTCGTTACGCTTCTTGGGCCCATCGGTCAAGTCGTTGTGCGCGGCGAAAATGGAAAATCCTTTGGAGATCGGTGACATTTGCGCAAAAGTTCTCTTTAAAGTACTCCTCTTCGTTTTCAATCAGACTCTGCGTTATTTTCCAAATTTTCGGTATCAAATTTTGCAATCACACGAAGATACTGAAGATACATGTGATCGACATGTGAAATTTGATGTATCCTGATGATTCTTTAGAGATGTTTATGTAAAACGTATCTGCGTCTCGTATGTTTCTTTTTAATCAGGCTCTGGATTATTTTCCATTATTATCGTAGTATAGTATCAAATTTTGTATGTAATACTTGGACGCTGCAGGATGATAATATAAAATTCTTTCCGTAGTGGCATTTCCACAAAAATGTCCGTGTTTCTTCTGCATTGTTCCCGACGATATTCAAATTTCGTAGTCAAACGGAAGTTGACTACCAAGTGATACGAAATTTCCTTAGCATGTAAATGTTACAACAAACACAACGATGTACATTTTGCAACCGGTTTCGAGAAAATTGCCGATTCTTCCTTCAATGTTCCTCAATATTCTTCCAGCTGAGTGACAAAAGTTGTTGCTTGTTGCATCGTTCAAAGCAGCGGAGATAAAATAAAGACGAGAAACGTATAGCACCGGATCGCTACAAATCCTTTCTTCGGCGTGTCCGTCGGCTCAGTTTCACAACGCGCTGGTGTATGGACAACTTGTTGCCACGAACAAGCGTCGTATCTCTCGAAACCAAGACAAAACCTAAATAACCTAAAACCTCCGGCAACTGGTTGATATCTGTCAGCTACTGTTCGAATCACGCGGCAACTTCGCAAAGTTTCTACCCGTTGATTTAACCGTTTCAGCGATTATGGCCGTATTGAACAGCGTGTTTTGAATGCTTAATTTGTCACGCAACGCGCTCCGTTTCAATTAACCTCTTGCTCTCCAATGGCACTTTTTGTCCCAAAATTGCAATATTTCGTCAGTTTCAAGTATATCTAAGTACAACACAGGAGAAACAAATGATAAATTTATCGTTACTTTTTTCATAATTTCTATCCAGCGATGTCATACCGACGTGTTCAAAAAGACAGCGACGAGTTATTGAATACTTTAGATATCTGGTCACTCGTTGTGGTCCGCAATCAGTTGCCAGCGCAAATTTGGTCAAAGTGTCGCATCGAGGCTTAACAACTGCGTAAATAGGAAATTTTTGCTTTATCTATTTACAGAAACCTCTACACACAGTTACGTCAAGGAAGAATGAGTGAAAAAAGGGGGAGAAATAAGAAAATTTGTTGACCAATTTCGCAAGTAAAGAACGTTTCAAACAGCCCCTGGCTAACCAGGACAATTCTACCTTAAGTTTCCCAGTTTATCGACCAGTTGTAGAAAAGTGGCTTACTCTAAAGTGGTAAAACGTTCGCCGCATTCATGAAGCTGGGATGGGATCCCGTTCCGATCGGCAATCGTAACAACGCATTTTTCTTCAATTATCAAATACCACGATACGCGACGGTGGAACAAAACGGTGTAGAAGAGTACGAGATCTCTCCGTGGCCCCCATACGTTACATCACCGATCACCGATCACCGATCGGCGACAGTTAACGGCACAACGAAACGGCCGTTCGCCGTATTGGCGTATCTAATTTTCCGCGGGTCGATTTTTTCTCTCTCTTTTTCCTGTTTTCTTTCTTTTCTTTTTTTCCCCCGCGCCGATGTTTTCGACTGGTTTCGATCGAAACGGCTCGAGAACGGTTCGAGGCCGGTGCCGAGCGAGGATTTATGCCCGGGCATGCGTCAATCTCGTCGGATGGACGATATCCTGTCCGGCGGAGAGAGCCGGTAACGGTACGCGCTCGATCAAAGGGTTAGACGAGAGAGATCGATCGGTTCGACCGGTTCCACGATTCGTTAGCATCTAACGAACGGTCCGCGCCACTGGGATTGGCCTTGACGTTCGACGTACGCGCGCCAGCCACCGGCATATTTATGCGAATGTTAACCCTGATTCCCTACCGGACCAAGTTTTCGCCTACCTTGTTTACCAGCTTCTCTCTATCTATCTATCTATCTATCTATCTATCTATCTATCTTGTCCGTTGACAGTTACGAGTTAAAAGATCGAGAAACAGATCTAGGCAAGAGGTCTTACAGATTACAATCCCTTTGTCGACACGACACGGTGAAAAGCGACGAGTCTTTCGACGTGCCGTGGTATTTCACAGACAAGACCGTGGAAACCAAGCAAATTGTCGACAGCAAGTTAGAACCACGGGCGAGGAGGACGGGGGAGATCCGAACAGATGACTAACATTCCGTGATCCCGTGCGACACGATCTTGCCCCGCATGCCGCACCGCTGCCAAGGCCTGCGCAAGCATCCGAGGCACTCCGCTTTTGCATAACTCCGCGATTCGTAACGATCTGTCCTGTTAAACCCTATATAGCTAGCGGGGATCGATCGTTCGGCTACCAGAGCCCATCGACTACCGTTAAACGTCGAGCCTCGTTCCCGAGAACCGATCGATCCAGGAATCGAGGCTTCGGGGTAGCTTCGGGCACCGGCTAAGCAAGCTCGGTGCCTCGATTTTGATTATCTATGCAGAGAACCGGTATCCGGATGCTTCCTAGTCGAACAAAACCCACGTCGATTTATCATTCGGATCGTGGCAAACCTGACTTCGCGAATCGCGTCGGTCGCTTTTGTCTTTTTGTTTTTTTTTTTTTTTTTCTCTTAATTAATCGAATTCGATTCTGTTTGCAGAGATATGCAGCGCAGCTTATTACGGAAAGCTTATTGGCAAGCTGTCGGAACTTCATCACGGCGTCAGCGGTGAAGTTTACGCGGTGGACGGGCGAACTCTGTTCATCAAGGACTTCACGTACGACGGCGAAGCACCAAGTTCGTAAACCGAGGAGCACAGCTCACGACTAGCGCGAAACTTTCCCATTTCAGCGCGCAACCGTCGATCACAGTCGCTCCCCTCCCCCTCTTCCGCTCCACGCCCGGTTTTCTCGCGGTTTCCCATCGCGGGAAAAAGAGCGAGCGTACGAGCGTCGAAGGGAACCAACACTGACAATTTTCCTACGTTACAGATTGTCGATAAAAGAATGTCCCTCCCCGGTTTCTGACCATCGACGATCGATCATCCAACGAGATTTCGATACGGGACGCTTGTTTCACTCCCTGTTACGTTCTCCTCCGTGGTCCCTCGTTTCCCTGCCACGATCGCTCTGTGAATTCCCTCAGACGTTTTATCGACGTCTCTGTTACCTCGGATCGGCCCTCGACAGAAATTGAATTTTCATCCGAATTATTTTTTGGCAGTATGAGCCTTGATTGGCAAAGAGCTGTGGCTAGGTACCACGAGATATTACATATTAAACTGGTTTTTAAGTTGATTAATACTCGATAACGAAGGACGTTTGCGATCTTCGAGTTCTTTTTTCGTCTCCGAATTGACACTTATGTAACGAATGTGTTTTCGCGTTTTGATTCTCGTAGTTGCGGGCACACGGATGTGTAGATCAGAGTTTATAATTTATTTTGTATGAATATTTTAAATTATATGTAGCTAGGAATGAGAAATGGTATTGTTTGTTCCTATGAAGAATTATAATAAAATAACAGTAGGTCATCCTTTTGTGTTGCTACAATATTTGCGATATTTGAGAAACTTGATACAATCAGAGAAACGTGCTTTCAGAAATTATGAATGTCTGAATTCTTGTTATACACACAAAATAAGACTTGAATACGTTCGTATATCTGAATATATACATGTGATGGGACACCTAAATATCTTAAAATGTTATTTTTAAACAGATAACATAGATAAATTTTAAATAAAAAGTAAATAGTTAATAATAAAAATTAATTGGTAGTAAGTAAAGTCTAGCAAATAAAGATTATTCGGTGACAATAAGGGGACCGTAACATAGTAGGAATAGTGATTTTTTTGTAAATTTAGTAAGTAAAGAGTTACGAGGATTTCAAGGTCACTTCCACTTTCTATTAAACGAAATAATATATTTATAGATTATTAATCGACACAGCACGACATTTTCTATATAAAGAAAAGTATAATGTACACGTATCGAAAAATATTTCTTTAATTTTACAACTTTTTTAAACTTTAATTTGACAACTTTTACACGCATCTCCAAAAACGACAGAGATATTTAAGTGCCATTTGTGCCAAGTTGCCATTTATGTTTTTTGTATATTAAATACGCGTGTAATAAGAATTTCTGCTCATTTCAATACAGTCATCAACCATTATAAATAAAGTAGTGAAATAAAAATGTGTAAATATTACATAAACACACGAACGAACGTACATGCAAAAGGTTGTTTCTTTCTCAAAGTACGTAGTGACCCATCGCAGTGGAAACACCATGAAAAAAAAAGTGCCAATAGTAATCAAGAAGAAGAAACAGTTCATTTCTGAATTTCTTGAAATTTCAAGAAGGTTGCGAGAACAAGGGAAAGAAACAAGTATTTACAATAGCTGGGCGAATTTCTTAAGTCGCGCATGTACAGAGTTTCGTTTAAGAGATACGTATTCAATGGCGACCGTAAAAAGTACAACTCCTACTTCTTCCCTTTCGACTCGTACGCCACTCTCACTTTTCTACATGCCACGGCTCAATAAAATCGAAAGCGTTCGCTCGCGAAGGTCTCTCTCTCCTATGCGCCCCGAACACGTGAAGCGTGTGCTCGCCGCTAATGATTCCCGAACGATCCCAGAGAATGAACGACGAAAGAAACAAAACGACGATCAGATGATCACCGGTCGCGGTTGCAATTTCGTTGCGGCGGATTGACCGCTGTCGGATGATCGAAAGCGATTAGCCAATAACTCGTTCAGCAATCGCCGAAAGCCGCAATTATAATTATCTCCTTTTCCAGCTGCCTACTTTTACGTCGGCACTTCGAAGAGCCCCAATGGAAACGGAATCAGACTTCGGGACGAGCGTGGATCGTGAGTGCTCTTTACCTTCTTTTCCTCTTTTTCTTCTTTTTTTTTTTTTTTTTATAATTATACCAATATCTTTTAACCTCTTGCGCTGGAATGACGAGAATTTTTTGTTCCAAAATTTGCAATATATATTTTCCCAGTTTTGCGTGTATTTAAGTAAAACAAAATAGGCAAAACGAATCTATCCAGTGATATCATACCGACGAGTTCAAAAAGAAAGCGACAAATTATTTTATACGATTCGGCCACTCGTTATGGTCCGCAATCAGTCGGTTAATCTCTCTTGCGCTGTAATGACGTGCCACCGCACGTCGAGAAACTTTTGTCCCGAAATTGCAAGTATTTTCTCAGTTTTAAGTATATGTAAGTATAACTCAGACAAAACGAATAATAAATTTATTACTTGTCAATCATTTCTATCCAGTGA